CATTGAATTTTAAAAATCTACACTTTAATCACTAACCCTGTATTGAGGATGTTACAAGAGGTCGATTCTTCTCGATAGAAAATAATTAAATATTATTGTGTTTCGTTATAAAAGTCAAAGAATATTATTTGTATCGAATCTTAAATTAAATTAAATTTGAATTCGTAAATTTCATTGCAAAGACAAGTAATTAATCGACTAGGCACCAGTTTAGGGTGCTTTGGGAGTGCTAATCATTCGCCACGCGAAACTAACTCCCGAACTCAAACTGTTGGTAACGCATACTGTAAATTTGTTGTTTTAATTAAAATTAATATTTTTATTAAAATTATAAATATGTTTTTGGGTGTCTAATCACACCCTAATTAAATATTGGAAGCGACACCTTGAACCATGTTTTATTTTAAAATGAAACACCAAATTATTCGAGACAATATCTTTTAAAAATCATATTTTAAAAATTTATTTTTTTTAAAGAAAAACCGTTTCGACAATATAAAAATTAATCCCCAACGTTTGTTCAAATAATCATTTTAGCCTTTTTTTTCTTTTTAGAGCAATTTGACCCCCCAATGTTTCATTATAGGGAAAAAGGCCCATGTATGCATGAAAATAGTTAGTTAACAAACGGTTAAGACTCTAAAAGATAGGTATTTTTTTAACTTCAAATGAAACGTTGAGTTCCAAAATGCTCTAGAAAAAAAGAATAAGAACTCAAATGACTATCCAATTAAACGTTAGGGGACTTTTTGCCTTAAATGTAACGTTTGGGGCCGAAATACTAAAAAAAAGAACAGGGGACAAAATGGACATTTCAGTAAATGTTGGAGGTTGATTTTGGTACTATGCCAAAAGAAATTGACACCAACTTTTTTTAAAAAAATAAATGATTTTATTTAAATATCATAATTTAAAATTATGATACCGTAATTTAAAATTTCTAGCTCCTCACTTGTTATATGGCGATACATTATTTGGGTGATGTGTGGTGGCATACCATTAGCAAACTTGGAGGCGTGGATATTACTTGAATACTCGATAAATGATGCATTACAACAAGTGAAAATATAGTATGATGTACCAAATAAATGGTAATTGAATATACAATCGAGATAAGGTTTATGATGGTTGTGATGTATGGCGTGATTGTATGTTATTTGATTGTTTGTATGAACTATTAATTTTCAATTTCTTGCTCAGTGATGTCTTTTAGAGCATTACTTCTAAATTTTTGTTTAAGCTGCTTCATCATGATTTATTACTTCCATGCTTAGATTTACCTACTTCAAGTGGTATATTAGAGTAGTTGTGCAGTGCTGAACTTCAAAAAGGTTAACGTTTTAAATTATTTTTCATGCACATATTATACTTTCGTGGTTTATGATAGGACAATAACATCATCGAGATTAATTTCAATCAGATCTTACAGAATATAATGATTGAATACTTTAGTGGTTATGTCTATTTTGTGACCCTTTGTATGTTCAGTATGTAATTCTTTTAAACTTTTAGTAATTGTATTTGATTTTAAAGTTAGTAGAGTTTTGAATTTTGTTTAAACCTTTGATATATTGATTTTTTTTATATGATGATTAAATTTTGTTATAATAGGGTAAATTACACCATTCATCATTGAATTTTACTATCTCTCTCCTATATCACTCATTGTATTTTCAATTTTTTCAATTTATTCATTGAACTTTCAAATTGTTCCTGTTTTGGTCACTACAAATTATTTTATTAATATTATTCTATGATGTGGTGTTTATTACTATTATTAAATATAAAATAATTTAAAAAAAATAATTAAATAATATTTTATTATTATTATTGTGGGCTGAAACTAGCATTGTCACTACAATAGAACTGGTCTATAGGGCTTTTTTGTCCTATAGCGGCGTTTAAAAGCGCCGTTAAAAATGCTTTCAGTGCAAAAAAAGGCCGCAAAAAATGCCGCTAATATAAACGCCGCAACTGTTAGTGACATTTTCTACTAATAAACGCCGCTAAAAGTCAAGTTATGTAGCGGCGTTTGTATACTAAAACGCCGCTAAAGGTCAGGTTATATAGCGTCATTTTAGTATACAAACGCCGCAATATGTTTGATATTTATAGGCGTTTTCCCACAACATGCTCGCTATTTAGCGGCGTTTTTAGTCAAAAACGCCGCAACATATTTGATATTTTTGACATATCAAAATTTGACATGAGTATTAAAATTTGTGATAAAAGAATATTCAGAGTCAATGATGGAATCATTTTATGCTTTAAGGGCTATTTTGTCTATTAAGACTTAAAAAATTATAAATATACTTTTAGAAGTATTATACAATTACTCAATCATGATATTTTTCTAATATATATATATTACATTTCCTTAAAAATGTTATTTGAGATTATTAATTATTGATATTTGTGGACAATAAAAAATTGATATCATCATGCAATTACTCAAATTATGGTTTATGGTTTGTCATTACACGTGTTAGGGTTGTTTATCGAGCGAGTCAATTGCTAGTTGGGTGGTGTTCAATTCAAGCTCATTAAAAAGTTTTGTTACTTGCTAAGCTCGTTAAACTTTTACTCGAATCGTACTTGTTAAAAACATTTATTGTTCAACTCATTACTCATTAAGTTCATCAGAATATTTGGGTAGGTACTTAGGATTTGCTTTTTTGGTGTAAATTAATTATTGATATTTTATTATTTTTCTTATTATTTATTAAAAAATTAGTATATTAGTAATAATTATTAATTAATAATTTAACATCTTTCTTATTATCTATTAGTAAATTAGTAATTATTATTTAGACTTTTTTAATGCAATGCTTTTTTAAGGCGGCTACTAAAAAATTATAAAAAAATAACAAACTGCTCGCAAACTTACCGAGTCGAGTTAGACCTTGTTCGACTCAACTCGTTAAGGTCTCAAGTCGAACTCGAGTTTGAGTTCCAATCAAGTCAACTTGAGTCAGGTAATGACCAAGTTTTAACCAAATCGAGTTCTAATAGTTCACGAGCTGCTCAACTCATTAAGCATCCCTAGTTTACATCATTATCAATTAACAGTAATGTAAATATAGTTAATATACTGATAAAATAATTTTTATTAATTTTACGGTTGGAAGGTTCAATTAGATATAAAAAATTGAACAGGTTTAATTGATTTTTTTTTAAATGGAAAGATTTGTATACTAAAAAGCCAAACAAATTTATTTTCTATATTTATAATTTTATTAATTCAATGATAATTCTAGAAAAGTAATGTTAATATTGAAACATTTTGATTATATATAACCCTAAGGGGCTGTTTGGTTCAAGGTATATTTTTATTACTAGGGGATTGGAATCCTTATTCCCCCGTTTGGTTGGCCAACATTCCTAGCCTCCCGGTAATCTTTTATTATCAATAGTGGATTTTTTGGGGTATATTACCGGGAATGTGATTACTCCATTCCCTTAGGTATTGTTGGATTACCGGCGTTTTGGACTAAAATGCCCTTAAATTTTTTTTCTTTAAAAAATATCATTCTTCTGTAGTTGAATAATAAAAATTCTACGAAGGTTAAATTAAAAATTTATCCTTAAACTATTTTAGATTTTAAAAAAGTCTATAATTAAAATTTTATATGAAGTTCAGGGGTTAAAATAAAATTTTACCCTTTCATTAAACCTATTTATCTTTTCAATTTTATAAAAAAAGTATATAAATTTTATGAATTTAAAATTTTTAAAGAAAATATATAAATTAATTATAGTAATATTATAGTAGAATTCAACTTGTTAAAAAAACAAATATATAATAAAGACAATTTGGTAAAATATACATTTTAATAATCTTTTATTCCTTTAACCAAACATTGTAATCTTACATTCCTGTTAAACCAACCAAACACAAAATACAACATTCTCAATAAGCATATTCTCTGGTAATCTTTTATTCCCATCGGTAATCTTACATTCCGTAAACCAAACGCACCATAATACTAAATTAATATTACCAGGGTGTGTAGTTGGTTATCACGCTAGTCTCCCACAATAGATATCCCCAGTTCGAATCAAGTCTTAGACATTTAATTTTTGACAACAGCCTAAACATTTAGTTAATGCATGAACGGAACCGATTTACAATTATAACTTGCATGTTTTACGGGTGCATCCTTCTATTACATTAACGGATTAACATAAATACTGCAGAAACTTGTTGAGGATATTGTAGATCTTCAGTGGTTTTCTCTTTTCAAGGAGTTTATTGATTTTAAAACTAACATATTAGTTGACATAGTTAATGATTTATTATAACAACTGATGTTCATGTTACCTTATTTTTAGGGCAAAAAGGTGATATTACTCATGATTTTACAGTGTGTGCCTCTACTGTAACTACCTCATGGATGCTCTTCTGCAATGCCAACTTTTTTTCGGATAGACAATGGAGAATCCTGTCATGTCCCACTGTGATGAAAGGAAGAGTAGTTGTCAATACACGTGCGGTCGCCATTCAAAGCCGTTGAAAGAGCAGCAACCCCTGTAGTGTGTCCTCACATTTGAGAAGAAGAATCATATGCAAGTTGGTGGGCGCAATACAAAGATATTGCCTCCCCCAAAAGCAATCGCATTCTCGATCTTTTCCTGCAAACTGGATTCAAAGGAGGCGATTGTGGGAATCTGGTCTAAATGAGTAGCTTGCCTCAGAATATTTTCAAAGTTATTGGTTTGAAGCATCTAGTTAAAGCAGAGTTTCTTTTCAATGTTCTGTCAAACAATGGAGTTTACTCAATGATGTTCCCTATAAATACTCCACCATCGGAGCTTAAGTTTCAGGTCCACCAAGGTTTTGGACCCTTTTCTCTCTTTCTTAAACTCCAACCTCCCACCACCATTCAGACGAATGCAGTGATCCGATAGTCGTTAAGTTTTAAAGTGAAATCGAAAGTATATCGTGACTTTTCTCTGAGCTTTTGCATTTTCTTCGTCCCACGTTAAGTGTAACGACCGTCTTCACTGCAAAAGACATGGACAAGGTGATGAGATTGGCCTCGGAGAGTGGAGTGGTGCTGTTCAGCAAGAGCTCATGTTGCCAGTGTTATACGGTCAGGATTCTGTTCCAAGACCTTGGGGTGACCCCGACGGTTAACGAGATCGACCAAGACCCTGAAGGCCGGGAAATGGAGAGAGCCCTGATGAGGTTGGGGTGCAACACGCTGGTTCCGATGATCTTCATCGGGGGAAAGCTGCTGGGATCCACAAATGAAGTCATGTCCCTCCACTTAAGTGGAGGGCTGATCCCTTTGCTGAGGCCGTATCAAGCTTTGTATTGAACTATAATACAAATCAAAATACTCTTTCTAATTATGACATTGAAAGAAATAAATTGACTAAAAAATCAGTAGTCTCTCTGGTCAGCTGTACGTATTGTGTATCTTCTTTTTTTCCATGTTAATCTCTCATGAGATATTCTATAGCTTTGCTTTAGCTCTCTATATCAATGTAATTTGTTCCTATTTCTTAATGAAGTTTACATTCTATATGTACTTCTGCTTAAGCCATTTATACCGACTTACAAACGTTGATATATACACCCTAGCAGTCATAACATCAAAATTTTAATAAATAAGTCATTTTTTCCATACACCAAATTATATGATCTCAAAGTTCTAGATGCTAGTAATAAAGTGATTAGTTTGAAGCATCTTCACAAAATCCTCCATGATCAACCTTTCCATCGCAGGCATCGATCTTAAGGATAATTCAAAGTTTGTTACTTTTGAATGGAGTAAAAAATGATAGGGTAAAGTATATAAATGGTCCCCGAGTATAAGGTGTTGCTTTGTTGACTCCCTTGACTTTTGAAAGTTACAAAATGGTTCCTGACTATATGTTGTTGCTTTTTTGAGTCCTCCGACTATTAAAGTTACAAAATGGTCACCCAACTATTTATATATTCCAAACTCATCCTTTTCTGTTAAAAAATTGACGGCCGTCTGAGATGGACGTTAACCTGTTGATTGTGATATGAGAAAATATTATCCCATAAGCGTTTTATCTGTATTTCATGGATCAAATTTCTATTTACATCATGTCGTCGAGCTAGTGCTTGAAACATTATGTTGGCGAGCCAATATTTGAAAGCAATGGTGATGCCAATAAACATCATTAAAATATGATTTCTATCATATCTCAGTCAGCAGGTTAACGTCCAACTCATACAAACGTTAACTTTTTAACATAAAAGGACGATTTTAGAATATATAAATAGTCAAAGGACCATTTTGTAACTTTTAATAGTCGGGGGACTAAAAAATTGTTTATAGTAGAGGACCAAATTTTAACTTTTAATAGTTAGGAGACTCAACAAAACAAAATCCTATTATTGAGAGACCATTTGTTGTTAGGAATATCAAAAGTTGTTGTTAGGACCACACTAATAATTTATACTATATTTTTTATATATATTTGTTAGTGTCACTTTTTCCATCTAGAAGCAACATGGTAAGTTTCTCAACATTGGAAACCCTATTACATTCCAACAATGTAAAAATAAATACTCTATACGTTTTAATAAATTTCTTCATTTTAATTTTTAAAATTATCTCATTTAAAATGTCCTATTAGAAATTTTAATAAAAAACAACATTTATATATTTTTTATCCTTATTTGTCTCATTCTTTTACATCTATCAAAACAAATAGGATAAACTACGTGTTTAGTACCTAAACTATCAGTTTTGGTTCATTTTAGTACCTAAACTCTCATTTTTTAACCATACATAACATTTATTTTTTATTTCATTTTAGTACTCTCTGGTAAAAAACTTAAGGGACAGTCTCGCTAGCCATCGCGTTTGTAGTCGTCAGTTGTCGCATCCATCAATTGATGAAACTCAAACTTTCCAACCCGTACTTTTGACCCCCTAAATGTGATTCTGACCTCTATTTCACTTGAAAACGCTTCAATCTCCCCAAATCAACGATGGACTCTTCGATTTCTTCATCCTCTGATCTCTATGGTCCACCGTTTGATGGGCCTGAAACTGAACTATGTTGGTCAACTCATCATTCTCTTGTGGTCCACCATTCAGATTGGTTGTCCTGAGCTATACCATATCAGTCCTTTTGTTCAGTTTTTGACGACGGAGTACTAAAATAAAACAAAAACTAAACGTTAGGCATGATTTTGAAAAAAAATGAAAGTTTAGGTACTAAACGCGTAGTTTACTCAAAATAAATATGTCAAATCTATCAGTCAATTTATAGTGATAATTTTGTCATTTCCCTTATTTTATATAACTTATATTTATCTCCTAAAACTATGTACCTAGCCAACATGGAACAAAAATTATGGGATATAGGGAATAATGTTTAAAAGTTAATTTACATAATTTTTTATTTTAATCCTGCATACTAAAATCTAAAACCCCAACCCTACATGTTCTAGACTCTAAAAATGTAGGCATAAATTATTTAGAACGTGATTTATCAAGATCTTATAGTATTCATATATTTTTCGGAGGCACTATGTAATCAAAAAAGTATTCAGAATCCTTTACATCAGAGTTACTCATGTTTTCATATATGACAAGAGTAATTCCATTATCTAGGAAATTAGAGACAATTTGGACATTAGGTTCTTGGAGAATTCTTAGTGATTTGAGCTAATAAGGGATAAACAGAGATTCAGGGCATTTAAGATTTGTGTCGATCTATCAGAATATTGAGTTAATTCAAACTATACAACTCCCAGCAATAATATCTGTCAACCGATCAAATCATTGCACTTTAAGGGTATTCACTTTTTAATACAGACAACTCTTGTCAAATTGATTATCTTCAGAATCATCGATGAATGGATCTTAGGGAGATTTGCAGATATTACAATGATAGTTATTTCACTTTTGTATTTTAACGATATCGAGAAATGTCAACGTGCTTGATTCGTGGTTCAAAACCCTTATGGATGACATAATATATAAAATCATCAGTGTTTCCAGACTTATCCAAGTTGTTTGCTTAATTTAAGGTCATTGGAGTACTTAAATAAATTCGGATTCAATTTTATCATGGTCACTTCGATTCCAGAGTAATTCTATCATTTTAACAACTCCAATACGTACAATAATTCCATTCAGTTCAACTTTGTCATTTCGAGTAATTCAGACGTGTAAGGTACTTTCGGTAATTTAGCCTCTGTGTGTTTGCTCAGGAATTAGTAATTTTAAGTCCTTTACCATCTCAAGATCATGAGCGATTAACATGTTTATTTTCACTTTCGTGGAAAAACCTTATCTTTTACAACATAGTGGTATTTTCGTAGTTTCGTATCCAAGCATTTTTGACATTTAACCTTTAATGAGATTAATAAAAATTTACAAGTCCCGAGAATGATTGATTTAATGATTAAATTATTGAACTTAGATTTCTTTCCGATTAGTCTACCAATTTCTTTTACGAGTTTTCTGAGTCTTATACAGTGTTTTGTCTTTATTCTAAATTTCGTTTGAGTCCAATGATAAGTAAATACACATCATGGATCAATTATTTTCATTCATGCATTTACCAATTATCAATGTGTTCTGGAAAGCATACAAAAGGTAGTCGAGTATTACCATGATTTCCATGCTCCACCGATCAAACATTTAAACTCCATTCGATCAGTCTCTAACTTGAATTCAACGTCCAATAATTCCTCGGATACATAGCAAACTAATTTACGTCAGAAACTGAACTAAATTGGGAAACCAACTTAAATCTAAAGATAAAACACTAAAAACCAGCTTACCGAGTGCGAATTTGGCAAAACGGACTTCAGATTTAGACTCAGGACATTGAATAACATAAAATAGGACTTTTCAAAAATTTTGACATTTCGGGTCAACGATCAAAGTCAACAGGTTGACTCAGGCCGGGTTGACTTGATCGGGTCAAACATACCGAATTTGTTTGGACCGGTAGACAAATCCCACTCACAGTGGTGGTACGTGGGGTGACGACAGGGGCTTTTTCAACTGACTGATTCTTCCCCGATCTTCTACACACTTCAATTTAACAGAAATAAATCCCAATTCGCAATAATAATATGACAAAGTTTCCGAAATTAAATCAAGAACTTACCCCGACAATAACCGTTGATGGAGGTGATGACAACGCGTCGCACTGGGCGCACAACGACTGTGAGGCTGATGGGCGATGTAACACCCCAACCATTACCCGACCCGGATACAAGTTCGAGATGTCACATTGCCTTTTTAAAACAATTTCTTTACAAATTAACTGAACATTTGAACTCATTTTAAGAAAAATACCATAAATACTATTAAATTATGATTCATTATAAAATTCAAGTCAAAAATGTATTTGTGAACAGTAATATACGTATGAACAATACCGTGAACAGTATCATTAACAGTGAAAAATTTCGAATATAAATTGTGTATCGATGCACTGCTACAATACTGCTATAGTAACTTTTGTAAAAATACGTATAAACTCGTAAAAATTTAACCGTTCATTACTATACATTTACTATGTACATATTTACTTTAAAACCTTACAAAATTCAATCATATGATTTTACAAAACCGATTAGAACATATCATATTCAAATCTTTATTTACATGGCAACCACTATCCTTATTACAAAAGACATACTATACATTTCATTTTTGATCTGATCTTTGGAAAGGAGGAACTGACATGTCTTGCATAACTTTTATCAATCTTCTTCTTCTCGGAACCTACATGTGAAACAATCACACGTTAAGTCATAGACTTAGTGAGGCATACAAACATATAATAAAAATCATAAAACATTTCATATATTAAATTACATACATGCACATATACTATCTTTATCATGATCTCTATCACTAATTTCTTTTCATCATGTAAGCATATGCTGAACCTTTCTATACTTACCACAGCTCGTATAAATGTCCCAAAAGACCTATCCAAAGGTCATACAAAACCTCAGCAACTGTCCATAGGTCCCAAAGAACCTAGGTAAACTGTCCATATGTTCCTTAGAACATAGGTATATTGTCCATATGTTTCGAAAGACATAGGTAATTCTGTCCATATGTCCTGGAAGACATAGGTAATTCTATCCATATGTTCCGTAGAATATAGGTAAACCCTCGACTCTTAGCATGCCAACTATACCACTAGCTCTCATATTACATATCATGGGCCTTATCATTTATAACATTTCATATCACTTGTATCACAAGTGCATGTATTCACATACTTCAATATCATTTGACTTATTTCACTTTATTACAAGAACATATCCACTCATATAATCAAGCATAGATACATTTCATATCATTCATTTCATTCTCTTCTAATCACATATTTCTTTTTTTCTGTCACAGCTCACATGTGCATATAATCACGTAGTTTACTTTCATGTAATTCATA